ACATTTTAGCAAAAGACATGATAGATCCAAGCTGTCACACCCAGACTGTCGAATGCACTACCACTTTACCTGTGCTTGGTGAACTCCATGGATGATTTACAAAAAAACAACTAAAAACATTATTTGTTAACCAAGCATTTTAGACTCATTTTATCTAGGGCTGCTATGACTGTATTAATTTTGTCTATATGTATTTTATATGGTGTTTTTTTGTATTTTATGCCTTATATTGTACAGCACTTTGTTAAGCTTGTATGAGAAATATATAAATAAACCTTACTTATTTACTTACTACTTTCAAGGTGTAAAGGAAGACAAAGCCCCTTGTGACTCAATCATGACAGTTAAAAACAAGTTAATCAAACACTATAACTCTGTGTTTTTAGCATATTGATGATTATCACGTTTTCAAATGTTATTCTTTTATCATTATGTCATTATATTGTTGATTATCATATAAATTCTATAACAATAATCAGAAAAAGACACTAAGAATTTTTTCCGTTTATAACAGTTCCATACACATGACTCCAGCTCAGTCTTAAGCAACAGAAATGTTTAAACTAGCTTATAAATACGGTTAAAATCCCACAGTTTAGACTTATTTTCTTTTGACAAACCAGCCTGTGGAAAAACCCTTCTTGACAACTTAGAAGCGGCTGAGATGAATGGCTATTTCTAACTAAATAAACAAGAAAACAGTAAGAAAATCTTCTTATGGGTTTCAGGAGACCTTTTGCAACAAGATGTATTTATCACTAACTGTACCTTTTCCATTGTTAATATCTGCAGTTGAGTGTATTACTTGTTTTACTTTATTAAGTTTTGTTTGAGGAAGTACTGAGGTGTAAAGTTGAGAAGAAAAAAATAGTTTAAATAACAAAAAGGAATTGCAAACGAGGAAAATGTCGTTAACTTTCTATAAACATTTGGATTTATCTTTGGAACGTTTTTTTTCCTCCTCATCATCAATTACACAATCATGTTTGCCTTGTCATTCACACTAATGTTCTGTCTTTTAACAGCACATTAATGTGCATTTGTGGGTCACTGGATTTCTAGTATTCAAAGAGCTCCAGCTCAGCAAGGTATGCTAATTGCCATCAGGTTGACAGACTAATATTTCATTTGGTTTTCATTTAAAAGATTCCTAATGGAATTTAATTTAAAATTACTTAATCTTTGCATGTGTTTTTAAATATTTTAAGATAATGATAGGTCCAGAAATTATTCCGCAATATTAAAAACGTGACATATTTTTGAGGAAATAATATGTTTCAGTAGCTGTGTCTGAATCCAGGGGCTGCGTTCTTCAAAGGACCTGGCCTATATAGGATACATGTATGTTCTTCGAACGCGACACAGTCACCAGTACTGGTATTGAAAGGCTGTGAACTTAGACAATTAAATCTGAAATTCGTATTTATTGAACCAAGCCCATTATTACCCAGCTTAACCTAACATGAAGATGATAAAGTGTGAAGAATTGCTTATGCATCCATACAAAATAAGAGGCTAACTTATTGACAAAGGCTTTCAACACAACGAAAATTGGAAAGTGTTCAAAGACATTCTGTCTTCATGGTGTCTCCGCTGAATGCATTGGCGGAGGCCTCCCTCCATTTCGGATGAAATGTTGATGTCAGTCTAGAGAAGAGGGTGTCAAGTTAACCCATCCACCATTTATAGATGGGAGACAACTCCATGTCAACCAGAGACTGGCATCCTGTTGGTGTTTGGATGGCTTCCAGTAAGGGTGCAACCCTTGCTTTGTTTGTGTGACCTCTATCTGTGTCTATGGCATTAACAATAGAGTGAAAGCAGAGACACATTAACTAAGTTAATGAGGAAACCTTATGTAACATAGGAGATTCTCTTACCTGAAGGGGATCACCGAAGGAATTCACCCCTTTCATTTTCTTTCTCTGTGCCTTTTTAATCTCTGTGTTAAAATTTCTGGAGATAAAATATGTAACTAATGTTTTTCTTGCATGACAGCAGTTTGCATAATTCAAACAAGACTTGCCAGTGAACACAAATCACCAACCTCTCTCTCACCAATTTTTAAGCAGAACGTTTAAAAAATAATCTTGCTTTACTTAAAATTTCTTTTATAATCCATAAGTATCTGAAATCCCACAGATCGATTTTAATTGCTAAGGAAAATAATCTATTGTGAACTTTATATACTTTTTGAAACAGTGTGCTGATCTTTACATCAGACGCGAGCTAATGCAGCACTTCTATTGCAGGAGAATTTCCAATATTAAGGACATTTTGAGAGCAAGGCCACTTAGAGCCATATATATATACTATCATATCCTAATTTAGTAGGAATTGATAGGAATGCCACCATTAACCATTGCATTAGCTTTGTATCTAATATCTAATTATTGCAAAGGTGCTAGAAATTGTTCAATCATTGTTGGGAAGAATCCTACTTAAAACAAATAACAGCACTTTATTAGACATATGATTGAGACTTTAACATCTTTACCTTAAGTGTTCACTTTATAGATTACAGATATTTACTTTGACTCAGCTGCTCCACTTCAGCATGTTTTTGTAATGATTGTGGCCTGACTGATTACCATTGTTTACATTCTGCTCTGGCCTTCAATCCCAAGCTCATTCTTTCCACTTGTGCTAACCATGCCCACTCTCAATCAGCACTGCTAAACTCAGCTTGTCTCCTGGCTTTATAAGTCTCTAGTCAGTGCCAGATTATTGAAAGCCACTGTGTGAGTAGCCTTCCTTCCTTACTTGCCTGGCTGGTCGTTTCTTGTTCTGTATCCTGATTTTTCCATCTCGCCTTGTAGCTTAATGGATTCACTCTCCTGTTTTCATATATTCTGGACCACAACCCTGTTTCTGATTATCGACTACCCAGCTCAGCCCTTTGGATTTCCTCTACAAATCTGTCTCCATGGTTCTGACCCTGCTTTTGACCCTGTTTTTCTGAATTTAGGCCTGCTATCCCCAAGGCTGATGAAGTCATGTCCTCTCTTGCCTCCTCTTCACCTGCAGTCACATCATCACCCTGCCATCAGCTCCTGCTAAGAAACCAAACCAAAGGGTTCACTCCTCCACCAGAATCTCAAGTTAAGAGACTCTTTCTTTAAGTGTCATGAAATTATTAAACTCCTCCCTGCTACTAACCTTACTCCTTAGTCTGTCTAGTAATTAAATATTTTTTTTCAGTACAGATTAGACCTGGATGCTCTTACAAGGCTAGGGGAACCCGATCCTTAATTTTTTCATCCTGAACTGCTGAAGATAAACTTTTTTGCAACAGCACATTGGGGTCCTTTGAAGAAAACAAGAATACATTTGATGCATTTTCTACCTTTCTTTTTTATTACAGTTGAATTATGAGGATTGTTTTACAGCTTCATTAACAAATGCGTTGCAAAATATGTCCATGACAAAAAAACATACAGGAAACAGTTATGAACAGCAGTGTTTCAAACTGAAGTAATGTATCTATCAATAGTTACATAGTAAATAATTTTTGTATTATTTTGATGTGATTTCTCTCACAACACCAACAGTCTTTTTATTTTCTCTGTTAAAAATCTAACTTTGGCTTCTGTTGTCCTTTTCTGGGTTTCGAAGTTCCATAGAACATTTTTAGTCAAAAATTTCTCATTAAACTAAACTGATCATCATAGGCATTTTTTTGTTTCTTGATAGAGAATGAAATCAGTTAAACATTTAATCCCTTAAAGTAAATTAGGAAAGAAAGATTTTTGTTATAAAGTTATAGTTTTTAATTAATTCACACAAATAAATGCACACAAAATATAAATTGCGTTTTGACAAGTGACCTGAAGTGAACAAAAAAAGATTAGTCTTTCAGAGACATCCAGGTATTATCATACATATGGCAAATTAGGTGATTGTGGAAATGTTACAATTTAAGGCACCCCTTTGAAATCCATAACATGGAATAATTAAACTATTGGTAGAAAGATTTTTTTTTTTTTAATCTAAAGAAAAATAAATATATGGTTAGATACAGCAGGACTAACATCAAAACACTATTTTTAAGTACAATTGAAGGAAACTTGTATCGGTTCTTTATGCTGTCTGAATTTTTTAGATTTAAAATAGTTTTTTTTTTTGTTTTAAAAACTTTAACATTAAGAATTGAGTCTCCCGTAAAATATTCGAACTCATCCCTAGAAAAATTACAAGGTGGGCTACAGAACTACTATTTTTAAACATGATCTGAAACAAATTCCTTAATAATTTAGGCTAGGATAGGCTCCATATTATTCTACTGTATAGATATGCTTTGAGTGTAAGTATTCCATTACATAGTAGATGTGGTTGTATGTTTAGGGTCACTAAGCTCCTGGAAGATCATTATCCCTACAAGTAACAAGTATTCTGTAACTCCAACAGCTTTTAATTCAGGATTGCCCGGTATACTGCTCAATCCATTTTTGCATAATCTCTCATCAACTTTTCTGCCACTGCTTAAGAATTATATCCTCAAAGCACAAGGCCACCATCAAAGTTCATGAAGTTATTCACTTCAGGGTGCTGCTTTGATTTATACTTATCTTGCTTGGCCTGTCAGTTTAGACTGAAACATGTTGTGGTAACCTTGTGTGCAAGTTGTATTCTTGTGGGATTAGGGGATTCCCAACCACACCAGAACCCATCTTTACTATTTCAGCTCCAACTATTCAAGACCGACCAAAATGAGTTTGCCACTAAAGTTGGCCAGCAAGAGCTTTATTGTTGTGCTTTGTCATGGTGTCTGTTGCTATTTGATTAGTTACTGTGACTGGCTAAAACCAAACTTTGATAGCAGGTGAATGTCCCTCCTTTATGCAAAGATATTAGATAGGAATAATCCCAGATTCATAATGTTTGGAACTAAACCTGAATGCTACACATTATCCATCTGGCTTGCCAGGTTAATGTCTTTGTAGGTTTTAGGTTTTGCCATACTGTTTTTTTCCCCATTATATTCTACATTACATTTAGAATAGAAAGTGCTCCATGAGATATGAAAAGCTGGAATATTTTATTTACAACTAAAACATGCTCTTGACTTTGACACAACTGTGATCCTTTTTTTCTTTGGTCTTCATCATGCAGTCCATGACACAAAATAACAAATTTGGTGATTTCTAAAGGCAGTTGGACGCACTGTATTTTTTTTAACAGTATCATTCTCTTTTCATGTCCCAAGTAGATGTATACAGTATTTTGTTTTTAGTTTACCATATAAACTCTGACGAAATATGTATACTTTTGCAAGGCATTATAGAAGTGTAGTTTCTAATGATTGCTATTCTATATTTTAACAAGATACAACATTAAATATGTTAAATATGGAAATCATGTCATATAACTTTTGTAAATGCAAGATAGTAAAACTTCTTTAAGCCAAGTTACTATGATTTATGGTAAAAAAAATAAGAAATAAACAATGCTAAACAGGTATGACAAGTTCAATGTTGACAGGTTGCCAAAATGACAGATTTCAACATCTAAAATAACTACATATTGCATAAATTAGTAAAGAATGACAAAATACACCTGAAATTAAACATGGTAAATTTACAGGAAAACCAACAAAGTCTGCCCTTTTCAGATAAAAAAAAAAGCCCAACAAAAGAGGTATTTGTGGTACACCCTGTTTGTTATTAGAAAACATTATTTTCAACAATAAACCATCAATAATTTTTTTGTACTTTCTTTGGATTTTCTTCTCAGTAATATTTCATTCATATGATCTTCTGTACTGAATATATTGGATGCTCTGAGGAAAGTTTTTCTGTCAGTCAACATGTTTTCCCTTTATTCTGTCAGATACCATTGGCTTTGTTTAGTGAACTATTGCTGCGACGTTTGTTACTTTCTTCAGCCTTTATGGCTTGCTCGATGGCCTCAGTCATGGGAACCTTATCCTCTGCTTCAGTCTCTCTGTGGTAGAAGTAGTTGAAGTTTGAAACAATGACAGGAACAGGCAAAGCAATTGTCAAGACACCTGCTATTGCACACAAAGTGCCCACAACCTTACCCCCAAGGGTAATAGGATACATGTCTCCATATCCTACAGTTGTCATTGTAACAACAGCCCACCAAAAACCATCGGGAATGCTGACAAACTGTGTATCAGGGTCATCTACCTCTGCAAAGTAGATGGCACTGGAGAAGAGGATCACTCCAATAAAAAGAAAGAAGATGAGCAATCCAAGCTCACGCATACTGGCCTTGAGAGTCTGACCCAAGATCTGCAGTCCTTTAGAATGACGTGATAGTTTAAAAATACGGAACACTCTGACCAAACGGATAATACGTAAAATCGCCAAAGACATGTTCTGTCCTGAACTCTCTTGATGGGTTGTGGCCAGTTCTGTGATCAAAGTCACAAAGTAGGGAATAATGGATATAATATCAATCATGTTCATAAGGTTGTGGAAGAACTCACTTTTACTTGGGCAGACCAGAAAACGAAAGCACAACTCGAAGGCAAACCAACCTATGCAGGCAGTCTCAACAAAGAAGAAAGGATCTGAGAATGTTTTCAGCCTTTCACCAGATAATGAACCAAAGGGAGAACCTCTAGTTTGGTTAAAATGATGGACTGCTGTGGCAACTACATCAGCGTCATCTCTAAATTCCGGCAGTGTCTCCATGCAGAAAATGATGATGGATATGACAATGACCAGGACAGAAACAAGTGCTACACCGCGTGCAGCGTTAGAGCTCTCTGGATATTCAAAAAGCAACCAAAACTGCCTATACATTTCATTTTTAGGGAGAGGTATGTCAACGTCTTTTATAAATCCTTCATCTTCTCTGAACTGTTCCATAGCTTCATGTCCAAGCTCATAAAATAAAATTTCATCAGCAAACACATCAAGGGGAACATTAGCTGGTCTTCTAATTTTACCACCAGACTGATAGTAATACAAGATTCCATCAAAACTTGGTCGGTTACGATCAAAGAAATATTCATTTCTCATTGGATCAAAGTACTCCATCCTCTTAAAAGGGTCTCCAAGAAGTGTTTCAGGGAACTGGTCCAGTGTTTTGAGTTGTGTCTCGAAACGAAGACCAGCGATGTTGATGATGACCTTCTGGTCTCCATCATCAAGGCCTCTTTTATCTGCAAAAAGATCCTCACAGCACTCCTTCGTTAGCCGACTGAAGATTGTTTCGCTTTCTTTTACCCCTTCACTACTTAAGAGCAGTTTCCAGTTGGATATCATGCTGGCACAGCTGCTGCGACCCTTTCTACTTGGTGATGGCATCGTCGGTGATTGAGGTAATCCCAGTATTTGTGTTGGTGGAATGGGTGAAGATGATGTGGATTCCCAAATGTAGGAGGGTATGGGGCTGCAGTGGGAAGGGGTGGCAGACAGTTGACGGGCTTGTAGGACGTTGTTGATGTCTGGGCTGTTATTGTGCTCTGGAGGAACATCCACTGTGAGAGCTGTTGTCTCATCAGCATAGGTGTCAACTTCATCCTCAAGGCTGCCATCAATGTCCTCCAGGCTCTCAAAGTCAACCAGGGCCACTTCCATGGCTGGGATTCAGCCAGTGCAATGCCTTGAAAAGGATCAGTATCAGAGAATTTTACAGTCTTTGTAACAGAGGGAAAGTCCAGTTTTCAAAGTTGGTAGCAGCATTTGCATATCAGAGTACAGAGTCTTTTGGAAGAATCTCTGAACAAACAGATGGCCAACTTCATTTTTAGCTTCTGTTCAACACCTATAGAAGAAAGAACAAAGAAATAAAGATGATTTTTCAGTTTCTGTCAGTGTTTGGGTACCTTTTCTACATTAGCTTCTATAAAGTACAATGTTTTGATGTTTCAAAGCACATATTTTATCTTAGCTTTTTCAGAGATGATGGGTTTCTTGGAAATTAATAGTAAAAAATATTCACATGATATCAAAGAGGCACAGTAGAAAATTAAATCTCAGGTTGAGCAAAACGTTTTAGCCTTTTAAAACTGCTATTGATTTTTTAATAAATGCAAGATGCAGTTGTTAGCACTGCCCTTGCCTTGGCCATTTTGTAGAAGTTTGAAGAATAGGATAATTTTTCAAGATCAGCAGATTTCTACCAAGTCAAAAACTGGTAAATTGTTTTTTTTTCTACCTTGAGGAGTGTGTGTTTGTGTACGTAGGTTTCTTTGATGAACACAGCAGAAGACGAGTTATTATAACAAGGTTTTAAAATAATTTATTAAGTTGCATAATAAGTGCGTGTATCTTAATTTCATGTGAAGTCTTATCTGGTGACAGTTGAGAAACTTATGTCTCTGTCACAACTTTAATCATTTTGACTTGGAAAAGGGGTAAATAATCTGACTATTTTTTTTGTATTTAATCAAAGCTGCAGTAGTATATCTCCATGCTTTTAAAAGGGAGCTCTGGTGTATTCATCAATATGGACCCACTTTAAGCTACACAAGCTTCAAGGTAACTAGGTCTTTGCATGAATTAATGCATAATTAAGTGGCGTGAAGTGATAGCACGGATCTCCCTTCTTCCAGACACGACATTTAAACTACACTGGACCACATGACTTCCAGAGGCCATGACACATAAAACCTTTGTCATTTGTGATTAAAGTTAACTACCCTTGATTGTGTACCATTTAACTAGACGCCAAAATATAGAATGTGCACATACATGAGGCTGGTCTTTAAAAGGATTTCTCTGTGAGTGTCTGCTCATTTTGTTTATTTGACTAAATGTGTGGCGGAGATGTTGCAGATGTTTAATTAAAGACTTCAGACGTCAAAAATCAAAACTGGTGGTTCGAGCCCTTCTCTAAGAGAAATAGACACAAAAAAGAGTTAATGAGGAGAATGATACGAAAATTGTTGGGGAGATAGATGTGGGTGGAGTGATGGGTTAGGATGAAAACTGTGCAACTGCAAAAGGAAAAGTGACAATGAGACAGAATGAGAGTTGTGATGTGGGTGGATTGATAGACAAGATGATGAGGGAGTACCTCTGGCAAGGGGACATCAGTTGTTTTTGTGAGACAGGAATAATGTGAAGATGGAATGAAGGAAGCAAACAGTTATCCTACCACATGATGTAAATTAATAATCCAAAAGTAGTAGTAGACTGTTTAAACATCCCTAAATCTGAAACAGGTTTTGCTCAGTACCAATAATACCCAATAATACCCAAACGTCATATTACACAAAAAAATTGGAGTTTGTATATCAAAATACCTAAAATACTAATAATTCCTGTTATGTATTCAGCATTAGTATGACAAAAAAATAGTATGAATTGAACAATTGTTTGTAAACAAGTGTCATTAATAAAAAGCAAAATGTAAAGAATCCAATCTTTGCTGAAACTCTAGGCCATGCACTAAAACAAACAAATCAAAACTATTGAAATATATTCACATTAAAACAAAAAAAAAAAAAATAAATACAGCATGAAAAGGGGATGCTTTGAAAAATGTTTTAGGTTTCTGGAATACCATCATATATTTTAGATGCATCTAATTTTTTGTGTTACTTGAAAAAATATCATAGTCTCTATACTGGTAAATAAAGTTTTTACTTTTTTAAATCTTATTAATTCTAAAATAAAGACCATAATGAATCTTTTCAACAGCTTGCAAGTCCAAGGAGTTGTGACGTGCCTCTTACCTTGTTTTTAAAGATGTTCTTAGTTTTCATCCTTGCAATAAGCTCGGAACCATCTATCACTAAAGCAGGATACTAAATTCTCTGTGAGTTCTTCTGCAACGTACTGCTTCTCTTCCATTTGAGGTCAGAATGCCTTATCTTTCGTGGACTACACTTGGTAACCCTATGCTTAAGCAGAAACTGGAGATGTGGCAAAGGCCAAACAAACCTACACATGCTAAGAAACACACCCACACAAACACACACACTTGTCAGACTATATCCTTAAGGGGATTTTGCATTGCCATTTATTTCTATGGCCTAAACCAGGCCATTACCCAAACCCTACCCATCATTGATACATATCTAACCCTAAACCTAAGCTAAACTCAATTCCCTTCTTTATCCTAAACCTAACTTCCCACCCCAAAAGAGAACCATTCATCAAGTGGACCAGTGGACAGGTCAACACAAGAAAATATAAGTCCCCACAATGTAGCATGTATGTGGGAAATGTCCCCACAGATACAACTTTTTTAATGGCAGGATTCTATTTATATTCACGTCTGTTCACAGCACTTTATATACATAAAAAAGGAAATACAAATGTTGCAGTCAAGGTATCTTGGATCTAAAATGTCTGGAACCTATTTTTTAACCCCTAGAAGCATGTGGGATATCTTGTTTGCATAAGTGCCTGTTCATGCGTGTCATATGCCATCGACCAGGGATTTAAGTGATGTGCTCAAGACCTTCTAGACTGGAACGGTGTTATTTGATACTCTGATTTCTCCATGCTTGATCCACTTACCTTACACACACAAGTTTCTGACGTATCTACAACTAACTTATTTACAGTATCACAATGAATATTTGATAGCTTACTAGTTCGATACTAGAGGGTAGACAGAATGATAAAGCTTCCTTCACACAGCCTTTCACTTTCAACAGGTCTTTATCAGCAGTCTCTTAAAGCCTTTAACTCACTGCTATGTCTAAGCTGTGCACCTCAACAGCATACATTTTTAATAGCTATCTGTCTAAATTAGTGTTTCAAATGTTTCAACATTTAGGACAGCAGCGCTCCAAAATCACTTCTAAGATTTCTAAGGAGCCTTTTGATATTTTTTGTCAGCTAAAGTCGGAGATTTTGGTACGGTATGTAAAATTGCATGTAGGGAAGCTGCCACTAATTCTACAGTGTTGTTATCCACTGTTGGATATCAACACAGGGGTGGACAATTCCAGTTCCTGGGGGCCGGCATCCTGCAACGTTTAGATCCATCCTTGGTCTAACACGCCTGAATCAAATAGGTGAGTTACTTCCTTACTATGCAGTCAGTTCCTCCAGAGTCCTCTCAATCTAAACAAAATAAAAACAAAAGGGGTTTATTTGATAGCTTACTAGTTTTTTGCTAATTAAACATGTTTACTTAGAAAAAACATGATCTAGTGGCCATGAGTTGTATTCAAATCCTTCTTATACTTTTTGACCAGCGTTTTGGACATTTCCTATAATATCTCATATTTTACATCTTATTTTTAAGGTTGAAAAAAAAAAGGTTGACACTTATCTGACAAGAGATATTTTTAGTTATTTAATTTATGATCTCCTCTAGAGGGGTGAATGTGGCTTTATCTCTATCGGTAACTCCATGAATCCATTGGTTCAAAAGTCTGCTATCTTATTCAGAAACACAGTTGGAAAATTTTGCAACAGTGCAGTGCTTTCCTGGACAGGTAACCTGGAAGTCAAAGGTCTAGTGCCCCTTGTGGATAAGACTTACCTAGTAATTATTTTATAATAGTTCATTAGTCAGAAGAATTGTCTCATTAAAATTAAAATATTACATTATACCTCAACTTGAAAAAAGCCACAAATCGCTTTAGACTGAACTGTGTAGAAATACATTTTATGTAGCAGTGGGAAGTGTGAAGCTATTAAAGTGTGAATCCATCACTTTAGTTTGACTTTGAATTGTTTCAAGGCAGCTCAGATACAAAGTGTTGTGAGAGATCAGTAATTACTGATGGTGTAACTATAGCCACCTATTTTGATGAACATTGTTGGAGGAGAAAGAAACAGAAACAAAATAAAGAATGAGCTAAATATAAACAGCGGGTAGAAAAACATATTGAACACACACCAGTTTTCTCAAAAAATAAATGTCTAGCGGTGCTACTGACATGAGATTTTTATCAAATGTTGTTAACATCAATGCAATCTCCTCATTGAAAGAAATCAAACCATAGATCTCCAGAAATCAAGTAATGTGTAATAATGTGGAATGGCACAGGGAAAAAGTGTGGCGCCGCGCTGCACACTTTAGTATCTCCTGTGGATTTATAGCATGTGGGTAAACAGGAGCAGATGTTCTTGCAAATCAAGCTTAAGACAATCCCTTGCTAGCTGGCTTGCCCAGTAATATGTCTATGTTGAGCAATTAACAATATGAAAATGTATACTGTAGCTGAAATGACACATTCCTGCTTTTTGCTTAACCAATTTACTAATCTCTGAATCTCTATTCCCTACACTTTTTAAACAGTTTTAAGAAGCTAGCAAAATAAATTTTGACAAGTGATAAGTTTAACATAACATAACATTTAATTTTTTGGGGGGAGAGGGGTTCAGAGAAATTGGGGTTCAGGAATATTGTTTTACACTGGAAAATGTTTTTCCTAACAAAAAAAGTGACACCATCCTGGAGAGAAGTATCAGCTGTGCTGCTACCATAAGCACCTTTGTTTATCGATGTTTGAGCTCGGCCTATTTTTTAGTGTAGTCCTGTTTCCCTGACTGTGACTGTCTGGATGTGCTCTCTTTGTCGTCTTACACTGAAGCTGCTCAGAGCTTGTCTGCCTGGCAAAGTGTTTCCTGGACGGGGCTGCCTGTTGAGCTGGTTGACAAGTTCCTTTGTATCTCTTCTTTTTTGTATCTCTGGTTCTGTCTCCTTGAACCCCAGTCGGCCTTGACAGATGGCCACTCACACTTAGCCTGGTTCTGCTGGAGTTTTCTTCCTGTTAAAAGGTAGTTTTTCCTCTCCACTGTCACTATAAGCATGTTTGGTGTGAGGGATTGCCTTTGAGTCAATGAGTCGATGCACTCAACTGGTTTTCCTTAGATAGAAAACTTATTGATAGAACCAATTTACTGTATGATCTGGTTGAAATGTAAAGTGGAGGAGATGTGTTGTGAATTGTTGTGAATAAACCAAACTGAAAGTTTTTTTTTGTTTAAAATGAATTATTGGAAAGTATGCTTTAAATAATAAAAAATATTATTCTAAAACATACATGTTGAATAGATTTTGATTTTATTCATGAATGTTTTAATTTACAATAAAAGATACATACAACTGACATAAAAGCAACTAAGAACTTTAAGACCAAAAACATGCATGACGACACACTAAATGTCAATGTGGGTGGCCAAACCATTTAATCTTATGAGCTTCTTTGTCTTGAACTATTAGACAAAGCTTTCATTGTGCGGTGAAATCATACTGCAGATATAAATGTTAGTTTGGATCATACCTCTACTAGACAAATGTCTTTAGTGTCTCTGTGCTGGTCCTGTGATAGACCAGGTGGTCCTGTGATAGGGTGTGTTGCTTCTCTCCTAATGATATATGGCATTTTTGGATCAGAATTTTGACCCTTTTAAGCAGATTAACGCAGAATGGGTAGCTCAGTTCTATAAGCCAAGGCATCATTTCCACAAATTAGGGATATCCCAATGCAATATTAATACTGGGCATCAGTCCAGTATTAACCAAAAAAAAACTGATATTGGATTTTATTATCAAGCATTTAAAATCTCAGATATTTTAAAGCTAATAGAAACACTCTGCTTCTGTTAAACGTTTCTGTACCTCACTGGTTAATTTTACATCCATCAGTTGTTTCCATACATTTTATTGTTGACTTTTGTATCCTTTTATTTTAAAAAAAGGCCTTTTCTAACATTCTACAGTTTAAGTGATAAAAGGATGTATCATTAATGTTAATATCATATCGCGTCAAACTTGTTATCGGACAATTCTTAAAGCAGCAATATTGGTATCTATGAAAAACTTGCACTTAGACCCCCCTACCACAAATACCATTGATCTGAGGAGCTAAATATACTGTATCTGTACTTAGGTAGATAAGGGAAGAAAAATAAATAAGCTTTGATAGTGAAGCATGCAACATTTTATAGTACTTATCTATTTCATTCCTGCAAATTCAGAGTGAGATATGTCTTTTCTCCAGGTGAGGAAAATATAACACAATGATCCAGGTTACTGAATATCAGTAGTCCTCTTTTCTCCTAAACTGCATAGAACAAATAGACAGTACCAACACAGAACATCAAGAGTTTTCTCTGATTTATCATACTGGAATGTCAGCAAACAATCCTTTCAGCCTTATTAGAGATTTATTGTGACCTTGCTCTCATGCTTTAGAACCAATTTAGATTTAGATTTGGGAAATTAAGGGTCAGATCTAAACCTTAAGTTGTTTGTTTGTGTACAATCAGGTGCCTGACACAAGCATCAAAATCAAATCCCTAAGAATGAAAGTTTTTATACCAACATGTAAAGGAAATCATATATCTAAGACCAGACAGAAAGTGTGTGATATGTACATTTAAAGATACTTTTTTTGCAACATCCTCCATCTACCATGCTGTGTGCCTGGTTTTCTTCATCATAAGATATTAACAGAGACTGAGATGTGGGTGATAATGTGATCCCAGCCCAGGCTAACCGACAGCCTGGGATGGGTACAATAAAATAAATAATAAACATAAAAGCTACTGGCATCATCTAAACAAGGACATTTATGCAGCATATGAACCATAGGTTTAAAGCACTTTCAGTCAGATTGTTTAATCCAGACAGATGCAAGTGTCGCAGACAGATTATTAACTCTAACCCCAGAGACAGAGAGGTGAGTGATGTGAGCTGTCAGCAGCTTTGTTGACATTATGTCAGTTTTCAGAGGATTCAGAGGATTCTCAGAACCCGCACTTCAAAATAAAGACACAGATTATTTAGAATTTGATTAGCTCCCACAGTCACAAAGAGGTTGAAGAATAACAGCAAAGAAATATTAGATAACAAAAGCTCATAAATAAAATAATGATAAATGTTAGCTTAACAA